ATTCGGAGTATTCAGACCCCTTGACTTTTTCCACATTTTGTTACATTACATCCTTATTCTAAAATGGATTAACTTGTTTCCCCCCCCCCCCCCCTCATCAATCTGCGCACAATACCCCATAATGACAAAGCAAAAACAGGTTTTTAGAAATGTTAGCAAATGTAGAATTTATTTTTACAAAGAAACTGAAATGTCCATTTACGTAAGTATTCAGACCCTTTACGCAGTACTTTGTTGAAGCACGTTTGGCAGCGATTACAGCCTCGAGTCTTCTTGGGTATAACGCTACAAGCTTGGGACACCTGTATTTGGGGAGTTTCTCCCATTCTTCTCTGCAGATCCTCTCAAGCTCTGTCAGGTTGGATGGGGAGCGTCGCTGCACAGCTATTTTGAGGTCTCTCCAGAGATGTTTGATCGGGTTCAAATCCGGACTCTTGCTGGGCCACTCAAGGACATTCAGAGACTTGGCCTAAAGCCACTCCTGCGTTATCTTGGCTGTGTGCTTAGGGTCGTTGTCCTGTTGGAAGGTGAACCTTCACCCCAGTCTGAGGTCCTGAGCGCTCTGGAGCAGGTTTTCATCAAGGATCTCTCTCTCTACTTTGCTCCGTTCATCTTTCCCTTGATCCTGACTAGTCTCCCAGTCCCTGTTGCTGAAAAACATCCCCACAGCATGATGCTGCCACCACCATGCTTCACCGAAGGGTTGGTGCCAGGTTTCCTGCAGATGTGACGCTTGGCATTCAGGCCAAAGAGTTCAATCTTGGTTTCATCAGACCAGAGAATCTTGTTTCTCATGGTCTGAGAGTCCTTTAGGTGCCTTTTGGCAAACTCCAAGCGGTCTCTCGTGCCTTTTTTACTGAGGAGTGGCTTCCGTCTGTCCACTCTACCATAAAGGCCTGATTGGTGGAGTGCTGCAGAGATGGTTGTCCTTCTGGAAGGTTCTCCCATCTCCACAGAGGAACTCTGGAGCTCTTTCAGTGACCATCAGGTTTTCGGTCACCTCCCTGACCAAGGCCCTTCTCCCCTGATTGCTCAGTTTTCTGCAGAAATGTTTTGGTACCCTTCCCCAGACCTGTGCCTCGACACAATCCTGTCTCGGAGCTCTAAAGACAATTCCTTCAACCTCATGGCTTGGTCTTTGCTCTGACGTGCACTGTCAATTGTGGGACCTTATGTAGACAGGTTTGTGCCTTTCCAAATCATGTTCAATCATTTGAATTTACCACATGTGGACTCCAATCAAGTTGTAGAAACATCTCAAGGATGATAAATGGAAACAGGATGCACCTGAGCTCAATTTCGAGTCTCATAGCAAAGGGTCTGAATACTTATGTAATTAAGGTATTTCTGTTTTTTATTTTTAATACATTTGCAAACATTTCTAAAAACCTGTTTTCGCTCTGTCATTATGGGGTATTGTGTGTGTAGTTTGAGAAAAAATTTAAAGGCTGTAACGTAACAAAATGTGGAAAAAGTGAAGGGGTCTGAGTACTTTCCGAATGTGCTGGATAGGCTTTATTATGTGTGCTTGCGTCGGCCACATTATTCTGACATATTTTAGAATATATTAATAATTTAAATGCCAACTTGCCAATGTTTGTACGAACCCTGAATTAGTTGTAAAATGGTTTTATATGGGCTATGATGATTGGACCAGAGTGTTTCTAACCAGGTCACATAGTTCTAAAAAACTCCTGGCCCAAGGGAGGATGAAAACCCTGTCAAACTGCAGCAGCCTTGTACTTGTTCATATGAATTCTATTTTAAAACTAGACTAACAGAGGGGTTTCTGTTACACAGAGACAACTGGGTTGTTCCACAAATGACTGCCTTTTGCGTCCCTTTGATATTTTAAGTAGAAATTGTGCACAAATATAGAATTTTAAAAGCCTGTTATATTAAGTGAAGTGCCCTTTTTAATATAGACCACATGGAAAATGCAGTGAATTAGTTTTTTTTTTTTTATATGACATGTCCCTCTGTTCACCCTCTAGGAAGATTTTAACCCACTTAACCCCAACATTTCTCCAAGTTTTCACCATCACAGTCATTTCTGGCGATTTTATTATTCATTTCATGTGATTAGTGTTTAATTTGATGGGGGGGGGGGGGATTCTCAATTTAAGGTCAACCCTGTTACATGAACTCTCATTTTAATATGGTGAAACTATTCCTTTTAGAATATTTTTTTCCAAAAGAAACATTGAACATCTTATAGTCAAACCCTAGTGTAAAAGGCAGGTGAGCTGGTTCTAATCTTTTTGGCCATTTTCTGGTGTTTTGTGTTGGAAAACTGAGCGGGTTGAGGATAACACGTCAATCCTGTTACTCATAGATAGACAGGCTAGAAATGTTTTAACAATTCATTTTTATTTGTGAAGGTTGCATTAAATTGCCCCTCCCTGTTGCACACAACAAGCTTCCATTCCCCCTGTCACAAGGATTTATGGCTGATTTTAAGATTAAATCGTCAACCCTGTTACTTTAATTGGCACTTATTAGTAATTGTATTTAACCTCTTGAGATGGGAAAACATGTTTTCTATTAAGTTGAACATGCGCTCGTTATGACAGAAAGTTAAAATTAGGTGAAACAAAATATTGTAATTTTTTTGCGAAGTTACACTACTCAAAAGGCACCCAATTGGTGGAACGACCCAACTGTGATTTGACAATATAACAAACATGGCTGAGCTTGCTTTGTGCAGGGTTGCATTGTGTAGGCGTATGCATTTCTAATAAAAAAGTTAACACAGTCTAGCCTTTTGGATTGGATTGAAAAGGCCTACCAAACCTACGTTTTGAATATAAACCAAATTTGATCACGTTCACATTTTCTCTTAACACAAATAAATTGGCTTAGGCTAGAAATACATAATGTTACCGCTTAATTTCCCCTGGCCAGATGGGACAGGGCACATACTGTAGGTAGGCAACAGTTGAGCAGACTGAAAAATCGTCTAGTTTTCATCCCATACAGCATATCAGATCGCTAATGTTTAGGTGTAGGCTGCTACAACATTCCTGTACAGTTTTTGCTTGTCTGTCGGGAGTGACTTTTCCAGTTTGCTAAATAAATATCGTAGGAAAGTGGAGAGGGCACTCTTCTTTTTTGTAGATGTGTGTCATGTCCGGCCTGCGAGACCTGTGATTTCCATGAATCTGATTGGTCAAGACACACACAACCTGCAGCACTCTGATGGGAAGGACATATAGGCTACTAATTGTGCGCGAGTTGACAAATCTTGAGGCAATGCTCCTCAGTCTAAAAAACTGTACATTCTCCTTCATTTTTCAAAGCTTCTGCGTCTATTTTTATTAAACCAAAGCTGCCCCACCTGACTGAAAAGTGCTGGGGCAAATGCCTGCTCACCACACGTTTGCCAGCGGCCCTGGTCTATATAGTTTTGTCTTAAGGGAGCACTCTGCTGTACCATTAGAGCAGGCATTGATTGAAGGCCAGTGTTTTCATCCAGGCACTTAGTCCAATCAATGACTTTTGGGCTGACCTTAACCGCCTCACTGAGCAATGTCAGCCACTGGCACTTTTTAAATGGCTCTGCTTTTATGGGCTGGGAATGTCAGCGCTCAGCAAGGGCTGTTTTAAAAGTTTTGGGCATCTTAGCTAGGGTTGCAAAGGGAGGGTATACAGTATTACTGATGACTTTCAAAGTTTACTAGTTAACTACCAGAACCTTTGTAACTTTAAAGTTTTTTTAATTTTATCACATGACATCTAGTGCCTTTTGGGTACTTCAGATTATCACAGGTGTCTGTAATTATCTCTGGCCCTCTGTGTGGCCTTATCACATGTAAAATATTTAATATCATCAAATAAGATGATTTTAAAATTTAAATAGAATGACAAAGCTGTAAAACATTATCCTAAATATAAACCATCAACTTAGTGAATACCATTGGTGTTTTAATATGAGGGGTTCAGCATGAAATGTCTTTCTTTTTTTAAGACTTTTTTTATTTATTACTTTGTCTATGTCTTTGTTGTAAATGTTTTGCCACCAAACTAGTGGCAGTTGTGAAAAAGTAAGTAGTTGGAAGAGTTGCAGAGTTAATAGAAAATTGTCTGACTAAAGCCATTGTTGATTAGATGCTTTTTTCATTAATTAGGCTATTTCCTCTTGAACCATATGGCCTATCCATTACAAACTCATGTACAATATGGACACAGATATAAAACAAATGTATATGTTTTATATCTGTGTCCATATTGTACATGAGTTTGTGTGTGTATATATATATATATATATATATTCAAGTATAAATTACCAAAGTTGCCGTAGATTACATGTTAATTACTGAACATTCTGGTAACTTTGGTAAATTACCAGTAGTTTTGCAATTCTAATCTCAGCACTTTATTTCAGTTGTTGATTGCCCAGAAACCAAACTCACTTGTTTTCCCCACATCTGTCAGGTGTTGATTTGAAAGGCAACAGCGATAATCATTAGTCACCCAAGCTCTCAAGGACTGAAGTTGTGCACTGCTGCCAGTGCTTAAAGCCATTTGTAAATAGACTACTGCTCATCCAAGCAGAGATCCTGCCTCTCCTATTCTAAGACTACAACTACTACTCTGGACACTTAATAGCTAAACCTACCAATTTATAATTAAGCGCTCTTAGCGACCTTTGTGTGAATGTCTTACAGCAGATCTAACTGAACAGTGTTTCCTCATTTTGGCTGTTAAAATATCTATTTAGAAGCTGTTAAAGGTGGAATCGAATCAAATATTCCCTGCGTCAGCAGCACCACACTCTACCCATCAGACCAACCTACCCGAGCTAGCCTTAAAAAAAAATGTGTCCATTATAAACACCACAGCTTTTCAATCCTCCTTCCCATTTAACAAAAAGGCAATCATAGAGAGGTCAGATGGAGCTAAACTCTACACACACACACACACACCCATCCTCCACTTAGTCATTACACTTTCTGTCGCTGACAGCTGGAGATGCCTCAATTCCACAGTGAGGAGGCGGGATGTGGGGTGTTTACAATGCCTGTGGGTGGTACAGTAGAACTGGGGCCAGCCTGACAGATGGCTGGATGGCCAGCCACTCTGAGAAAGGTGTGGTGGGGTGACGACTAATGACAACACAGATATGCTAAAATCGGGAAGATGAAGACACAGAAATAAAAACATCCTAGTATTTATTTTAAGTCTCTACAGGCCTACGACACGTTGTCAGCAAGTCTCACAAAGCCCTTTTCTGAATGTGAAACCAGGCTGAATATGTGTGTTTCTCAAGAGCTGCAGTAGTGTCTCCTAGGCTTGGTGGGATGCTGCATCATAGTCTGTGACATGTCATCTGCTCGAGTCCTGACTGGACATGATCCGTCTCTGTGGCCTGGGGAGGGAACGGAAACGGTGTGTCTGCAGCTCCCAGCCTGAGTGGAGATGACAGCAGCCGTTTACCATGCAGTAACAGGAAGGCATGTGCCTCAGGCTGTTACGCACGCCACGCACGCCACGCACGCCACACACACACACAAGGCACCAGATTGGTGGTTTTCAAGACATTCACCACAGAATGAGCTTGATGCAGTAAAGTGTCAGAAGTAGGGCTGTCCCTGACAACAACAAAAAAATCTTAGTCGACCAAGAGTCATTATTATATAAGAGTCGACTGTTCTTTCTACCAATAGATTTAAAACATGTATTTTTCCATATATAGACACACCCCTATGTTTGAATAAAATTATACTGTATGTAGGCTACTGAACTTGTCTGACGCTTTAAGCACTACGATTAGAAATGAAGACACATATTACTAAAGCGGGAGCTAGAGATCAATATAGCTTAACCAGAAGAAAATAACCTGTTCCCGACCGTCCTCCTGACCCCCCCCCCCCCCCCCCCCCCCCCTCCTCCAGCTGCTTGCCGTTAAGCTCATGAATTTGCCAGTAATAGGCTACACCAGTGGTCGGCAACCTTTTCCATTTGGAGTGCCAAGTTATTGTACCATTTCTACTGATCTGCGTGCCAGTTATGATTTTCATATGCACATTTTCGTGGAACAATTTAATATATAAAAAGTCTTCATCTCAAAATCAATGTCATGTGGTTAATCAAAATTCTATCTAAATGAAAACGATACAGATCTAAAAGTAACTTCTATTGCCATTATATAAAAATAGCTGATCTTTTCTCTCTCTCTCCTCTCTCTCTCTCGCACTCCTTCTCTCTCTCGCACTCCTTCTCTCTCTCACACTCCTCCCCCCCCTCTCTCTCTCTCTCTCTCTCTCTCTCTCTCTTGCACTCCTTCCCTCTCTGGCTCAGGGCAGGGGCCCAGGCATGAGGAGCAGGTGGCTGAGTGGGAGTAGGGTCTGTCTGGGCTCTGTCAAGGTTTAGGGAGGTCACATTTTAATGGGCTCTCTTCTCCTCGCCTCAGCCTGGCCTGCCCCTGTCAGTCATGGAGAGTATTACACTTTTTTATTTATTTCCTCTGCTCTCCCTGTTTGGTTGTCTTCAGGGCAGAGCTTCCATGTAGTCTATTTGATACGACTGCTGGTTCTGCATGGAAACATTGAGAATGATGAGGCTTGTCATGTTCTCAGGTTAAAGGAAAGACTGTGTTTGATATGCTTGGAGCAGTGTTGTTGGGAACATCAAGGGAGTCTTGAAGTCTGGGTAATGGTGATCCACCGTGAGCAGCACCATGTCACTAGCTGATTCATCCTGAGGATCACACAAACTCTGGATAGTCTTTTGTTTTCTGGGAAGAGAGCGGAGAGGGGAGGAGGATGCAGGTGCGAAGGAACGGCAGATACAAGCACCGATGGTCCCTGTAATTTGCTGAACCGTACTTTTTTCTTTCTCTCTGAAGACTGAAATGAAATATGGGCTCAAGGAGATCAGTGAACTTCAGCGATTCTCTTCTCTCTCTCTTTCTCTCCATCTTCAAAAGGCTGTCTCCACCTCCTAGGGTTTGTTCCTGAGGGCATGTTTCTTTTCTTTATTTATATCAGTGAAGCTCTGTGGTGTTGCATCCAATCTCTGTCCACATCACAGGCAGGCCGCCTGAGACCGAGCCGTATGGGGATGGGGGTGAGCCATCAGCTAGGCCGTCTGAGAAAGAGCCGTGCGGGGGAGTGGGGATGGAGGTGGGGGTGAGCCTGAGTCAGGTTACCCATATCTGAGGATCTGGACAGAATGGGGTGTGTTTTTAACTTGCCCACACAATTGATGATCTGACAGTGGTCTATTGCTCCGCTTCCTCCTCCTTGCCTCCCTCTCCTCCCCTCCATGGCGGATAGAGAGTGCATTCCAGAGTGCTCCAGGGGAGGGGAGGGGAAATGTTCCCTGGAAAAGGAAAGGCCCAAGAAATCCTGGGGCTCATGGCATCGATATGGGGGTACTTGAGGTTCTGCCAAAACTCTTCAGGCTCCCGTCAGCCAGCCCAGGCCTAGGTGCTGGGGATGGGGGAGGGGCAGAGTGAGACTGTTTGAACAGAAACTGTAGAAAACAATCTCCCACCATGATGTCATTTTTAGGAGGGTTTTATAAAAGGAGAATGTGTGAATTGTAGGGATGTAACGATTCACTGATATGCATCAGTCCCGGTTCAAATGTTTAAGATATGGTCTGCGGGACCCCGAACCGATCCAATTGTAGCATGCATTGGTCAGAAAATGTATTCAAATGTTACGAATCACCGGTTCACATTTTTTGTTGTTGCTCAAATTACTTTCTTTCTACCTTCTGAAAATAGCTCATATTTTGTAACAACTGCGTCCTCTCCTTCAGTGTCGAAGTAAGCATGTAATTGTGTTGACAGTCATTCATCTATAGTTGAAGTCGGAAGTTTACATACATCTTAGCCAAATAAATTTAAACTCAGTTTTTCACAATTCCTGACATTTAATCCTAGTAAAAATTCCCTGTCTTAGGTCAGTTAGGATCACCACTTTATTTTAAGAATGTGAATTGTCAGAATAATAGTAGAGTGATTTATTTAAGCTTTAATTTCTTTCATCACATTCCCAGTGGGTCAGAAGTTTACATACACTCAATTAGTATTTGGTAGCATTGCCTTTAAATTGTTTAACTTGGGTCAAATGTTTCGAGTAGCCTTCCACAAGCTTCCCACAATAAGTTGGGTGAATTTTGGCCCATTCCTCCTGACAGAGCTGGTGTAACTGAGTCAGGTTTGTAGGCCTCCTTGCTCACATGCTTTTTCAGTTCTGCCCACAAATGTTCTATAGGATTGAGGTCAGGGCTTTGTGATGGCCACTCCAATACCTTGACTTTGTTGTCCTTAATCCATTTTGCCACAACTTTGGAAGTATGCTTGGGGTTATTGTCCATTTGGAAGACCCATTTGCGACCAAGCTTTAACTTCCTGACTGATGTCTTGAGATGTTGCTTCAATATATCCACATAATTTCCTTCCTCATGATGCCATTTATTTTGTGAAGTGCACCAGTCCTTCCTGCAGCAAAGCACCCCCACAGCATGATGCTGCCACTCCCGTGCTTCACGGTTGGGATGGTGTTCTTCGGCTTGCAAGCTTGTCTCCCGAGTGGCGCAGTGGTCTAAGGCACTGCATCGCAGTGCTAGCTGTGCCACTAGAGATCCTGGTTCGAATCCAGGCTCTGTCGTAGCCGGCCGTGACCGGGAGACCCATGGGGCGGCGCACAATTGGCCCAGCGTCATCCAGGGTAGGGGAGGGAATGGCCGGCAGGGATGTAGCTCAGTTGTTAGAGAATGGCATTTGCAACGCCAGGGTTGTGGGTTCGATTCCCATGAGGGGCCAGTATGAAAAAATAAAATAATGTATGCACTCACTAACTGTAAGTCGCTCTGGATAAGAGCGTCTGCTAAATGACCAAAAAAAAAAAAAAAAAAAAAAAAAATGCAAGCAACCCCCTTTTTCCTCCAAACATAACGATGGTCATTATGGCCAAACAGTTCTATTTTTGTTTCATCAGACAAAAGGACATTTCTCCAAAAAGTACGATCTTTGTCCCCATGTGCAGTTGCAAACCGTAGTCTGGCTTTTTTATGGCGGTTTTCGAGTAGTGGCTTCTTCCTTGCTGAGCGGCCTTTCAGGTTATGTCGATATAGGACTTGTTTTACTATGGATGTAGATACTTTTGTTCCCCGTTTCCTCCAGCATCTTCACAAGGTCCTTTGCTGTTGTTCTGGGATTGACTTGCACTTTTCGCACCAAAGTACGTTAATCTCTAGGAGACAGAACGCATCTCCTTCCTGAGCGGTATGATGGCTGCGTGGTCCCATGGTGTTTATACTTGCGTACTATTGTTTGTACAGATGAACATGGTACCTTCAGGCGTTTGGAAATTGCTCCCAAGGATGAACCAGACTTGTGGAGGTCTACAATTTCTTTTCTGAGGTCTTGGCTGATTTCTTTTGATTTTCCCATGATGTCAAGCAAAGAGGCACTGAGTTTGAAGGTAGGCCTTGAAATACAGCCACAGGTACACCTCCAATTGGCTCAAACGATGTCAATTAGCCTATCAGAAGCTTCTAAAGCATGACATCATTTTCTGGAATTATCCAAGCTGTTTAAAGGCACAGTCAACTTAGTGTATGTAAACTTCTGACCCACTGGAATTGTGATACAGTGAATTATAAATTAAATAATCTGTCTGTAAACAATTGTTGGAAAAATTACTTGTGTCATGCACAAAGTAGATGTCCTAACCGACTTGCCAAAACTATAGTTTGTTAACAAGAAATGTGTGGAGTGGTTGAAAAACTAGTTTTAATGACTCCAACCTAAGTGTATGTAAACTTCCGACTTCAACTGTATAAGTCATTTTGCATGCCTAACAACCTCAGGCAATATAAGTAGCTTAGTCAAACTGTGCGCAGTTTCACACGCTGACCAACGAGAAGCAGGCTTTATTAGTTGAGTGACAACCAATGTAATTAGCTAGGTTATTTTTATCAAATGCGCTGTTGAAAAATGTTTTACCGGAATTAAAGTAGCCTAAGCTACCGCTGGAGAAACAACTCATCTGACTATAGCCTACATACTGATCGGGGCTTACATTATATTTTATTTTCATTGTTCAGGTTCACCATCAGCAATAGTTTTTCTTGAAAAAAATCAGTAAATATGGTCATTTTTAGATATACAGGATAAAGTTGCTTTTGCTACCTGCACTGCATGGTCGAAGCGGGAGAAGTCGTCCTCAAAACTTCCAAATGCTCTAAAGCATGAAACACACTGAGAATCTCACTGCCGGTAGGTACTTATCACAGTGGGAGGCCGTTTCTTCTCTTGCTAGAACAAAAGCGGTACCTGCTGCATGCTGACCCGGTAGCGACAAACCTACCGATTTCTACTTCTAGAATCCCAATGCTTGTCACTGGCCAACAACTTGACTTTGAGTCAGTCAGAGATCACGAACCCCCACGTGGGGGAGCCAATAAAAGAAAAAGAAAAGAAGGAAAAAATAGGCAATTTTCTCTCTACATCCACAGATGAGCCAGTCACACTTCATATGCAGTGTAGGCTATGGGATGGTAGCTAGCTAAGTGCACAGATGCAATGCACATGACACTAAATACTTCCTCCAAGCTAACAAACCACTGTAGCTAGTATTGACATTATAATTACATTACAATGGATTAGCTAGTTTCCATGAAACAGCTGCTGAGTTAGTGCAGTGTAGCTATGTTGTGCTTGCTAAAAATATGCTAACGTTAGCTAGCTAGCTAAACATTTCTCTATTGCGTGGCACTCATTTACTGTCTTTTTAAAAAACATAGTTGATATGGCTGACTTGCTTAAACAAATGTGGTTTCTACTGACAATTGAGATGTACAAACTATGGCATAAGGGAACGTCGAGCGGATAAGAGGCAATCCGTAATTTTGATTAAGATATTAATGAGTGAGCTAGGACGGACGTAGTCAATATAACTATTTGTTCAGCACTTTTGAAATGTACAGCGACAGAATTCAGAACATGGGACGTTCTTACAGTATTCTCCCTGTACACCGTCAGAACCATAGGATAAAAAAAATAAAAGCAGACAATGAAAGCTCTTACAATATTCAATGATTACATTTCTCTAAAACAGGCTATAGGCTACATGTGCACCACTAAGTCAGAACAGTAGGCTAAGTTAAGAGGGGGAAAGGGACCAAATTATTAGGGTGAGGCACATGGGCTACTAACTGCTAACTACACAACATACTTTGTATTACTTTCTTAGCTACAGTATACATATCTCCATGGCATATTACATCATTTTTGGACTCACCCTGGTGTTCTGTGCTCACTTGAACAGGAAGGTGGCGTGGCGGTCCTTCTTGTGGGCAAACTTTGTCATCAAAGTCTGTCATTCTCTGGATTTCTGGTGCTTTCAAGACAACTGGGAACAAAGTTGAATCTTCAGGTCAGCGCTCTAGAAAGAGGCCTGAGTTCCCTGACTTGGAATTCTGAGTTGGATGACGTTCAAAAAGTATTTTCCCAGTCAGAGCTCGTTTTTTTCAGAGCTCCCAGAAGTCTGAGATTTCCCAGTTCCGAGTTTCCAGTAGTTTTGAACCTGGCAGAAGTCATGCTGGATTGACAGCATGGCCAATGTATTCAACCTTTTTGTGGTGCATGGTGTTGTATGTGAATGTTTATCCTTTAAGCTTGGATAAGAGACCCTTAAACCCAGATTTGGACCACACACCCACTCCACTAAATAGCAGGCTAGTGATTGCTTTGCAACGCTTGCAGTTAGCCACTGATTCTTTCCAAACCACTCATTGTTGAATTTGCGATTTCCAACTTGTTGTGTAATGTTTGTCCAATGGCCGATGAGCACCGACACGTTTTATCTATAATTTATCTTCATATGACAAGGATTGAAAAGGATTTGCCAGTAGAAAGCAAAAATTTGACCATGTTTGAATGCAGCTTTTTTAAACATTGTTTGCAAACTGATATGTGACACGTATTAATGTCAAAATAACATGCAAAACAGGCAACAAAAAAACTAAACATTTTGCTAAACAGGTGGAGCTCTGGCTAAGTACTGTCGGCAGGCAAATGTTCGACAATCCTACCGTGTGTCTGAGCTTTAAACCATTTGATTATGAGACGGGTGAAATCATAGCAAATTATTAAAGATAAATATTGATACATTACTAGCTCTAACACTATTATTCTGCAAAAATTACAAATTAATTTTTGGGGGGATGATGACAAAAACAAACACCCCCCCCACCAAAGAAATTAACTAATAGTGGGATGGTACAATCGTGGTCAGAAGTTTTGAGAATGACACAAGTATTGTTCTTCATAAAGTTTGCTGCTTCAGTGTTTTAGATATTTTTGTCAGATGTTACTATGGTATACTGAAGTGTAATTACAAGCATTCCATAACTGTCAAAGGCTTTTATTGACAATTACATTAAGTTTATGCAGAGTCAATATTTGCAGTGTTGACCCTTCTTTTTCAAGACCTCTGCAATCCGCCCTTTTTTCCGGATGCCCCAAACAATCGGAATGGGGATTCATCAGAGAAAATGACTTTACCCCAGTCCTCAGCAGTCCCCCTGTACCTTTTGCAGAATATCAGTCTGTCCCTGATGTTTTTTCTGGAGAGAAGTGGCTTCCTCGCTGCCCTTCTTGACACCAGGCCATCCTCCAAAAGTCAATGCCTCACTGTGCGTGCAGATGCACTCACACCTGCCTGCTGCCATTCCTGAGCAAGCTCTGCACTGGTGGTGCCCCGATCCCGCAGCTGAATCAACTTTAGGAGATGGTCCTGGCGCTTGCTGGACTTTCTTGGGCGCCCTGAAGCCGCCTTCACAACAATTTGAACCTCTCTCCTTGAAGTTCTTGATGATCCGATAAATGGTTGATTTAGGTGCAATCTTACTAGCAGCAAGATCCTTGCCTGTGAAGCCCTTTTTGTGCAAAGCAATGATGATGGCACATTTTTCCTTGCAGGTAACCATGGTTAACAGAGGAAGAACAATGACTTCAAGCACCACCCCTCCTTTTAAAGCTTCCAGTCTGTTATTCTAACTCAATCAGCATGACAGAGTGATCTCCAGCCTTGTCCTCGTCAACACTCTCACCTGTGTTAACGAGAGAATCACTGACATGATGTCAGCTGGTCCTTTTGTGGCAGGGCTGAAATGCAGTGGAATTGTTTTTGGGATTAAGTTCATTTTCATGGCGTATATGCAAATTGCCATCATAAAAACTGTGGCAGCAGACTTTGTGAAAATTAATATTTGTGTCATTCTCAAAACTTTTGACCACTACTGTAGATGCCCAGTTTCCCTTATAATTCAGCTCCCTACATACACCACAGACTCATACAGCACGCGCGTGCGCGCACACACATACACACACACACACACACAGCTCAGACATTTTCAGCTCCATCAGCAGCATATTTGAATTTAGAATGGAAAATGAACGTGTTCATGCAACAAATGTTAGTGCACCGAATTTCATCGATTCGTTTCTCTAATCAAACCGAATCGTTTTTAACTAAAACATATTGTTCCTGTATCGGAGCCCATGTACATTGCATTCGGAAAGTATTCAGACCCCTTGACGTTTTCCACATTTTGTGACGTTAGCCTTATTCTAAAATGTATTAAATTGTTTTTTTTCCCCCTCATAAATATACACACAATACCCTTAATGACAAAGCAAAAACAGTTTTTTAGAAATGTTTGCAAATGTATTACAAATAAAAAACAGTAATACCTTATTTACATAAGTATTCAAACCCTTTGCTATGAGACTCGAAATTGAGCTCAGGTGCATCCTGTTTCCATTGATCATCCTTGAGATGTTTCTACAACTTGATTGGAGTCCACCTGTGGTAAATTCAATTGATTGGACATGATTTGGAAAGGCAAACACCGGTCTATATAAGGTCCCACAGTTGACAGTGCATGTCAGAGCAAAAACCAAGCCATGAGGTCGAAGGAATTGTCCGTAGAGCTCCGAGACCGAATTGTGTCGAGGCACAAATCTGGGGAAGGGTACCAAAAATGTTCTGCAGCATTGAAGGTCCCCAAGAACACAGTGGCCTCCATCATTCTTAAATGGAAGAAGTTTGGAACCACCAAGACTCTTCCTAGAGCTGGCCTGCCCAGCCAAACTGAACAATCGGGGGAGAAGGGCCTTAATCGGGGAGGTGACCAAGAACCCGATGGTCACTCTGACAGAGCTCTAGAGTTCCTCTGTGGAGATGGGAGAACCTTCCAGAAGGACAACCATCTCTGCAGCACTCCACTAATCAGGCCTTTATGGTAGAGTGGCCAGACAGAAGCCACTCTTCAGTAAAAGGTACATGACCGCACACTTGGAGTTTGCCAAAAGGCACCTAAAGACTCTCAGACCATGATAAAAATATGATCTGGTCTGATGAAACCAATATTGATCTCTTTGGCCTGAATGCCAAGCATCATGTCTGGAGTAAACCTGGCACCATCCCTACGGTGAAGCATGGTGGTGGCCACATCATGCTGTAGGGATGTTTTTCAGCGGCAGGAAAGATGAACGGAGCAAAGTACAAAGAGTTCCTTGATGAAAACCTTCTCCAGAGTGCTCAGGACCTCAGACTGGGCGAAGGTTCATTCTTCCAACAGGGCAATGACCCTAAGCACACAGCCAAGACAATGCAGGAGTGGCTTTGGGACAAGTCTCTGAATGTCCTTGAGTTGCCCAGCAAGAGCCTGGACTAGAACCCGATCGACCATCTCTCTGGAGAGACCTGAAAATAGCTGTGCAGCGACGTTCCCAATCCAACCTGACAGAGCTTGAGAGGATCTGCAGAGAAGAATGGGAGAAACTCCCCAAATACAGTTGTGCCAAGCTTGTAGCGTTATACTCAAAAAGATTCGAGGCTGTAATCGCTGCCAAAGGTTCTTCAACAAAGTACTGAGTAAAGGGTCTGAATACTTACGTAAATGTAATATTTCTGTATTTGTTATTTTTTTAGATTTCTAAAAACCAATTTTTTGACTTTGTGTGTAGATTGAGGGGGGGAAACTATTTAATCAGTTTTAGAATAAGGCTGTAACGTAACAACATTTGGAAAAAGATGCACGTTCCTAGTAAACACTTTAATTTACAGCTAGTCTCGATAACTGCCTCTTTGAATAATCTCTTTCACATTTGTCCTTTTTTAACACTTCACATATAATTATTCACTTGAACAATTTGTTTAGATAAACCAAGGTAATTCTCATAGTTTTAAGGAAATTAATATCCTTTCTCCTCTGTGGATAACAGTAGTGTGCTATCTCTGTCTCCCTCTCTGTCAGTGGGTGTGTGTCCTGGTGGTCCTGAGGTCTCACAGGCCCTGTCTGTCTTATCTTCCCCTCACACTTCACTGAAGGGAAGTTCTGAGAGGGCTGGGCCAGACAGATTGGGACATATCTGTGTAGGTCTTTTGAGAGGCGATCTGCTACTCAACTCGACTGACTGGATTGCTTCTGTAGGATTATTGCAATTCTCTATACCCCAACCTTGAAGGTGTTGTGTGTCCTGTGCACCTGTCTCTCCTTAATTAACTGGGAAGGCTGCCTGTGGATGCTTTTGGCACTGCTTTGAAGTGTGAACCCGGGGAAGGAGAGCTCTCTGAACACGTCAAAAGACCGGGAGCTGACAGAAGTTAAACGACTCCCATAAACCTGCCACATATTGCCTCTTAAGACGCGATTCTCCTCTTCCCTTTGACTGGGACTGTGTCTGATGTCTTTAGGCAGGTGACGGAGTCCTACTTTATTGGAAAATGGCTAATCAAGGAGAAGAGTCAGTGTGTGAAAGCTTTTGCATTTATTTGTTTTATTCTTTCCGAAGTCAAACCCTCAATCCTTTTGTCTCCGTTATCAAAGGTAATCAAAACTTTTCCTTTGTGAGGAACTCTGTTTTTTCCTTCCGTCGTTGAAGTGTTGAGTGCGCTGGGATTTGACAACGCTCTGCTGTCGTGTCTCGGCATAAAGGTGGCTGTTTCTTCTCTGACAACCTGAGTAATCATCAGAGGAAGGAGGGTAAAAATGGAAATGCAGTTCAGGCATCCATTGTCTCGCATCAAAATGCAAATTGTTGTTTCAGCAACAAAATAAAGCGTACGGCAGTCTTGAGAGCATATTGTAATTGAAAAGAAACGCTGTACAGGCAGATCAGCTTTAACCAGAGTTAAGCCTATTAGTTATCAGAAGTTGCTGTGCTTATTATTTACTGATAAAAATCCGGGCACAATTGTCTTTGCAGAAACACAATGGATGAGTGTTTTAAAGTGTTATCTGCTGGGGAATTGATCACTTTCTCCCAGAGTGAGTTGACGTGCCTGTAAACCTACAATACTTGACACTTAATAATAATGATGATGATGTCTAATTTATTTTTCAGATGGGGACACTGAAAATGGAGAGCTCGACTTGAGCGGTATTGATGATGATGAGATTCAGCTGGTATGTACTGCATTTTGACATTTATAGGGCATCTTATATTGAAACATCCACTCATTCTGAAATTACAGGATTGCCAGCAAATAATAACTGGAAATGCATAACTAAGGTCATTTATGTACTTCCCTTCACTGCAGTATCTCCTGAATGACAAAGAGGTGAAAATCAAGACTGAGCTTTGGATGAAACAGAACGAAGACTACTTGAAAGAGCAGAAAGGTTCAGCCACACCACACCATGCACATATTGTAATATACTGTTTTGTCTTGACTCTCCTTACTGGTAATTACATTCCCAATTTTAATCCCCAATCCCCATTTATACTTTCAGAAAAGGAAGAGAGGATAGTGAAAGAGAAGGAGCTGGGGATTTACAAGGAGAAGGTAAATCATCAACATCCTGCCAGTATAAAGAAGCAATGACCTTGGAGTGGCCTAGGTTTGCTAAAGCCCTCTGAGCACTCTCGCTGCCGAGCAGACAGACACAAAGCTCTGGTGTGTCAGTGTGTGTGCATATTTTCCACTCCAATGGGTTTCTCTCTCATTTCACGTCAGGGTTTGGCAAGGCCCAGGCCCTTTGTTAGGTCCAACATCTGCGCTCTGGTTTTAACTAGCTAGATTAACTGCAGCGCAACATATAGCTAATGAGGTATGGAGGCTTTGAAAGCACTGATCCAACAACCGTATGCCATGCTGTCCAACGTCACAATCAGCCCCCTCCCGTATACTGTAGCATAGCTAGAGCATCCCTTTGTTGTGCAAAGTATAGTTAACTGTACAGTAAGCTAAAAAACCAATGTGTCCTAAGTAATTGCAATTGACAAGGTACTGCGTGATTTGAAACCCCACTGTGTGCCCTGTAGCCCAAGAGTTCTGGCTACAAGAAGAAGGCTCTGATCCATGCCAGCACGGCCGACGAGGCTATAGAGAAGATGCTGGAACAGAAGAAAATTTCCACTAAGATCAACTACGACATCCTGAAGGAGCTGAACATTAAGCCCAGCACCAGTCCAGCCCGCCAGACAGCAGAGTCCCCGAAAGGAGCCACCCCTGGAGCCCAGAGGCTGACTGGACGATACCGCAAACCCACCAACGTCCCTCTGAGCCTGGGCACACCACTCAGCACCTTGGGCAAGAGGTAGGTGGAGCAGAATCACAGTGTGACTCAGTATATTTAATAATCCAACTGCTGTTCACTGTCATATATTATTCAATATATTCAGTATCGGCTGAATAAGCTTCAAGACTGAATGACGGCAGCAGTGTAGAATAAAGGGCAGATGAATAGAAATGTGAGTATGAGGCTATCAGGATTACAGTGTTTTGAATGATGCAACAGTACTTTGTCCTTCTCTAAGGCTCCTGTCGGTCACTGGGGGCAACATGCCCACTTTCTGGCCTGTTGAAGCAATGTTGCTGCTGTTCCTAATAATGATGAGGCTGCACTTTTCCCCTAGCCTGGAATGATCACCAGCGACAGGCAGACAGATGATTCCATTTCCTTTTTTTCCCTGGAAGGCTGTGGACTCTCTCAGCCTGCCACTCACTCCCGTGGGACTCTACTTCCCTGAGAATTACCTTCTCTCTCTGCCAGGATTTGCTTGAGCTCTCATTCGCTCTCTCTCTTTTCCGCTCCCTCTTTCTCAACACACACACCCAAACGCACACATTCAGTACGCTATGATCCACTGTGAGGCTTTCTGCTGAAATTAATCTGTTTCTTCAGCTTTGAGAAAAGTCATTTGACGTTTTCTGTTTGCTTGGTATTACTGAAATTGGTTTCCCAACTTTCCCTCTTTAAACCTCTTTCACAAAATCTAATTTCGGTGAAACCGTCTTGCAGGTGTACAAGTCTTCGACCCAGCCCAGCCTAGACCTAGCCTTTTAGTGGCATAACCAGGTGAGGCTCCTCCCCCCTTCCTGGTGTGGTCAGTGTTACTGGAGTCATCTAGTTGCAGTCCCTCCCTCCTCCCTCCCTCCAACCAGCCCAACCCTCTGTATACTCTGATCTCACAGGCTCTATAAATAACCCAGCTGGAGTGGAGTAAGAAGGCTATATTTTTTAACAGCACCAGTCCACTACTAGTGGCTCCAGTCAGTGGCCTAGCACTTCCTTGAAAAGTTGCTGTTTACTGTAGGCCTACACATTGAAGACATCCAGTTAAGTGTTTTTTCCGTTATTGAAGAGGGCATCATGGACAAATCTTTTCCCCCTTTCTTTAAGAATGGCCATTTTCCCTCTAACTGTCCACTTGTTATATTTTTTTAATGCATTCATGTCGCGTCAATAAATATTTAATGTACATCATGGTTATTGAATCATTCATTGTACACTTTCAACACTTGTTTTTGCTGAATGTGACTGTGCTTTTCCTAGCAGGTAGCTTTTAAGACTCACATCCACTTGCTTGAGAAAAAGCAGAACTTTGCACTTTAGTGTTGCTTGCTCAACAACGAGTGTTTTAACCACAGGACAGGATCACACCATGTAGTAGGTGTGTTCCACGACGCGCCAGCGGAGTGGAACTGACCTTACACAGAGTTGCATTATTTTCCAGAGAACGCATAGAGCCCCGAATTGATTATCATTTTATACCATGGTTAAAATGTAACACATTTTGCCACTAGAAATGTGTTCATTTACTGGTAGAAATGTGTTCAACATCCACTAAAGTAGCTAGCAAGTTTACTAGATACCTACAGTTGAAGTCGGAAGTTTACATACACTTAGGTTGGAGTCATGGGGCCCGTTTAGCTCAGTTGGTAGAGCATGGCGCTTGCAACGCCAGGGTTGTGGATTCGATTCCCACGGGGAGCCAGTATGAAAATGTATGCACTCACTTAACTGTCAGTCCCTCTGGATAAGAGCGTCTGCTAAATGACTAAAATGTAAAAATGTAAATTAAAACTAGTTTTTCAACCACTCCACAAATTAATAAACTATAGTTTTGGCAAGTTGGTTAGGACATCTACTTTGCATGACACAAGTAATTTTTCCAACAATTGTTTACAGACAGATTATTTCACTTATAATTCACTGTATCACAATTCCAGTTGGTCAGAAGTTTACATACACTAAGTTGACTGTGCTTTAAACAGCTTGGAAAATTCCAGAAAATGATGTCATGGCTTTAGAAGCTTCTGATAGGCTAATTGACATCATTTGAGTAAATTGGAGGTGTACCTGTGTCTGTATTTCAAGGCCTACCTTCAAACTCAGTGCCTCTTTGCTTGACATCATGGGAAAATCAAAAGAAATCAGCCAAGACCTCAGTAAATAAATTGTAGACCTCCACAAGTCTGGTTCATCCTTGGGAGCAATTTCCAAACGCCTGAAGGTACCATGTTCATCTGTACAAACAATAGTACGCATGTATAAACACCATGGGACCACGCAGCCATCATAACGCTCAGGAAGGAGACGTGTTCTGTCTCCTAGAGATTAACGTACTTTGGTGCGAAAAGTGCAAGTCAATCCCAGAACAACAGCAAAGGACCTTGTGAAGATGCTGGAGGAAACAGGTACAAAAGTATCTATATCCACAGTAAAACGAGTCCTATATCGACATAACCTGAAATGCAGCTCAGCAAGGAAGAAGCCACTGCTCCAAAACCGCCATAAAAAAGCCAGACTACGGTTTGCAACTGCACATGGGGACAAAGATCGTACTTTTTGGGGAAATGTCCTCTGGTCTGATTAAACAAAAATAGAACTATTTGGCCATAATGACCATCGTTATGTTTGGAGGAAAAAGGGGGTTGCTTGCAAGCCGAAGAACACCATCCCAACCGTGAAGTATGGGGGTGGCAGCATCATGCTGTGGGGGTGCTTTGCTGCAGGAGGGCCTGGTGCACTTCACAAAATAGATGGCATCATGAAGGAAAATGATGTGGATATATTGAAGCAACATCTCAAGACATCAGTCAGGAAGTTAAAGCTTGGTCGCAAATGGGTCTTCCAAATGGACAATGACCCCAAGCATACTTCCAAAGTTGTGCCAAAATGGCTTAAGGACAACAAAGTCAAGGTATTGGAGTGGCCATCACAAAGCCCTGACCTCAATCCTATAGAACATTTGTGGGCAGAACAGAAAAAGCGTGTGCGAGCAAGGAGGCCTTCAAACCTGAGTCAGTCACACTAGCTCTGTCAGGAGGAATGGGCCAAGATTCACCCAACTTATTGTGGGAAGCTTGTGGAAGGCTACTCGAAATGTTTGACCCAAGTTAAACAATTTAAAGCAATGCTACCAAATACTAATTGAGTGTATGTAAACTTCTGACCCACTGGGAATGTGATGAAAGAAATAAAAGCTGAAATAAATCATTCTCTCCTATTATTCTGACATTTCACATTCTTAAAATAAAGTGGTGATCCTAACTGACCTAAGAAAGGGAATTTTTACTAGGATTAAATGTCAGGAATTGTGAAAAACTGAGTTTAAATGTATTTGGCTATGGTGTATGTAAACTTCCGACATCAACTATATATTAGTTGCCATGATAACCAAACACAGACTTGCTACTTTAGCTAACCAAACCATCAGTCCTAGCTTGACATTAGGAAAATCAAATTCAACAATGCCAATTAGTTTGAACTTTTGCTTTTAAAAGCAGCTCAAATATAGAACATGTAAGAATGAACTATAGCCATTGAATTATACCGTGCGTTATAGGGAAATAATGCACGATCTAGAATGCCCTTCAAGCCAATCAGAAACAAGGATTCAACAATGCCATGGTATAATTTGTTGATAATTTGGTATCTTTGCGCACATTGTACCTCGGAAATGGTGACATTTAAATGAAAACATGACTGACCGTTGACAATAGAAAGAGTCCTTTCACTGGTAGGTTGAGGAGCTGACCGTTACTGGAGCTCCTAAAAAGGTTGTTTGTGTGGTTATTTAAAAGGGGAGACATGGTGTCAGGGAGACCTAGGGAAGTGGAGGAGAGCAGTGGCTGACAGTAAATCCATTGTGCTGCCTGCTTCCAGGCCTTACTGACTGCTACACTGAGGCATTGTGCTCCAACTCCCCTTCCAACCACGGCTCTGCTCCCCACACTCCACTCCACTTAAGGGCTTTCCGCTGTAGGAACCGGCCCCTGGTCCTGTCTCAGGCCTGCTTTGTACAGTGTCTCCCCTCCTCAGTCACGGCCAGCCTGGCCTCCGGGGAAGGCCTCTGAGCTCCCCCTTTCCCCCAGCCCTTCACCCAGTCACAGGCCTGTACTTCACAGGACCCCCACTCCCACCTGCCAGTCCCTCCATCCCTCTCTCCTGCCATACCACTCCATGCCTCCAGCCAGCCGCCAAACAGGGCCTCCCTGTTCCCTCCATTCCTACTGGAGGATGGAAAAGCACTCTTCCAGAAATAGCCCACATAATTGCCCTCTAGTGCCTTTTTTCTTCCCTCCTCCATCTGTTCCCCTCTTTTTCCATTCAAAGCTGATTTTCTTTCTTCAAATTTTTAAAGCTCTTTACCCATTCCACACTTTTGGGGGAGGGGCAAGGAATGGTTTCAGTCTGTGTTGTTTCAGAAGTGTAAATCTGACCCTAAAGTTCTAGTGGAAGCTCTGATCCACAATCTGGTCTAAGGGACTGGGCTGTGGCGATAGTTTCTGACCATCGATTTTCTCTCTGCTGCCTGTGTAGAAGAAATCACTTTCTCTGCATTCCTATTCAGCCTCTCAGAGCAGGTGTCATCAGCAGAGTAGACATATCACCCCCACGCTTCATTTCCAGTCCACTCTAAATATATATATATATTTTTAGTAATAGTAGCAGCTGTATTACATTTACGTTTTAGTCATTTAGCAGACGCTCTTATACAGAATGACTTACAGTAGTGAGTGCATACACTTTTCATACTTTTTCAAATGGGAATCGAACCCACAACTCTGGCATTGCAAGCGCCATGCTATACCAACTGAGCCACATGGGAGTGTATAATCTCCTTCTGGTTTCCAGCCTCTCCCACTGCACTGCACCCCCTGACTGACTGTGACCACTAAGCGATTCCATGGGATGCCTCTCTGTTTGCTTCTCACAGGAACCAACAGAGAACTCTCTGGGTGCCACTGCCTGGTTGAGGCTCCATCCGTTACAATGGTACAGACTAGAAGGCAACCCATCCCACCCCACGTG